CAAATACGTGGGGATTCCCCTGGGTTAGAATTTTTCTCCCAAGCTGCCCTGGTGACCCTGCCAGGAAGGAGTGAGAGGGGTGGAGGCACCGCTAAATACATTCATCGGAAAAAATAAAGTTGAGTGGGTGGCGGGATCCAGAAGAACCCAGACCTATCCATCAAAACCTGTAAGCAGATTGGCATTAAAGAAGGTAACCAGGTGGAGAGGGGGCACTACACTAGGGAATTACTGTTGTCTCTCACTTGACAGCTATCTATATATGTATTTGTCCTCCTCTTTGACATCTTTTAAGGAAGTTTTAATAGTGACCCAAGAAAATAAGTTTCCGCAGCATATGTAATTTTTCCTAGAGGCAGGAGTGCTGGAACAATTTGTATAGAGGTGCTGCTGAGAACCATTGAACCAAACTCTAAGCCCTATATATAGCAGGAACAACTTCAAGCTAACGGGTGTTGTAGCACCCTTATGCCCAAAAGGGATTTGAAATTTAGATTATGCATTTGTATTCACTGTAATCAAAGTCACAGAAATTTGGGACTAGAAAGAACCTCCAGAAGTGACCAAATCCAGCAACTTGCACTGAGACAAGAGCAAGTAATCACAGACTATCCCTGACAGTTGTTTGTCTACCCCATTCTTAAAACCCCCAAGGATGGGAACTCCATGACCTCCTGTAGAAGCCAGTTCCAGAACTTAACTACCCTGAGAATTACATTATTTTCCCTAATATCTAACATAAATCTCTCTTACTACAGATTAAGCCCATTGCTTTGCATCCAACCTCCCATGGACATGGAGAACGATTTATCACTGTCCTCTTTATAACAGCCCCTAATATATTTGAAAACTTATCAGGTCTTCTCTTAGTCTTCTTTTTTCAAGACTAATCATGCCCTTTTAAACAGTTTTGTTTGTCGCCTCTGGACTCCTATTTATCCACATCTTTTCTCAAATGTGCTACCCAGAATTCGACACGGTACTATGGCTGAAGCCTCATGAGTGTGACAGTTACTTCCCAGGTCTTACATGACATTATCGTTAATGCACCCTAGAATGATATTAGCTCTCTCACAACTGTCGCTGCCTGCTCTGTGGCACCAGCCAGAGCAGCAGCTGCTCTGCATTGCTTGACTCCAGCTTCTCACCTCCAACCTGGCTGGGGAGAAGGGAGAGCAGATTGGGGGAGCAGATGTGAAACTGCCCCAGGACTGCCCTGCTCCTGTGCTGCAATGGGGGGAGGGGAAATTCCTTACATCCTTGGTTCCCCTTTCTTAAAGGCAGGTATTATGTTAGCACTTCACCTGTCCTCCATGAGTTTTCTAATTGTTAAGGTTCTGAGATTACTTCCACTAGTTCCTAAATAACTAGGATGCATGTCATCAGGCCATGTCAACTTTAAAATATCTAACTTTTCCAAATATTCTTTATTGATTATAATCAAGTTGATTATCTGGTCACCATTAATCTTTTCAATTAAGATTAAAAATAATAAGCATTTAACTCCTCAGTTTTCTTGATGCCATCAGTTATCAGCTCGCCTTCCCCACTAAGTAGAGGGCCTTTACATTTCTTTTGCCCCTAACAAATAGAAAAAATTGCCTCTTATTGCCTTTTATGTCCATTGCTAGAGGTAATTCATTGTGTGTTTTAGTGTTCTAGGGTGGGTTCTCTTTTCCCCCCTCCCGGGTCTATGGCCAGCCTCGCACCCTCTACTCCCAGTGGGGCCTGCTCCCAACACCAGGGCTGGGCCTGCTCCCAACACCAGGGCCTGATGGCCAGCTCAACCTGAACTGATCACTCAGAAAGGATTGCTGGCCCTTTAAGGCAGGGCGCCGACCCACTGGCCAAAGTCCATAACCCAAGTCAGGGTTTTAAAACAGGGCCCGCCAACCAGTAGCGGCAAGTCGTGGGACAGGGCAACCCCTGCCCCCGGTAGGGCCCACCCTACTCCACCGGGTCCCGGCGCAGGGCCCTGTGTGTGGTAGGAGGACTCACCACTCCCTCAGCGGGGAATCCGTCCAAAACGCACCGAGGTCTCCGGGGCGGGAGAGGCAACTCCTGTTCCCACCCTAGGCCACTTCCCACCAGATCCTGCAAGGTAGCGTCCCATGAGCTCGCTGGGTCCATGCCTTCCCTAGGGGCCGTTTCTCCCTCGTAGGCTGCAGGGGGCACATCCCAACTGGCGCTCGGGTCACTGCTGTTTTCCCTCTGATTGGCTGGCTGATGCTGGTCCGGCGCTCCCCGCTGAGGACCTTCTTCCCTGGCAGTCAGCCCAGACTGAGCCTCCCTTCAGGCCTTTATACCTGGGCTGCAGTCTGAGCATGCGCAGCAGTGTCGTGGGGGAAAGTCTTTTTCGGTCAGGTGGGCCTGATTAGGCTCAGCCTTCCCAGTGGGGGGTTGATACACCCCATCACACTTAGCCTTTCTGACTTTGTCCTACACATACTTATACTATTGTTTTGTACTCCTCCCCAGCAGTTTGTCCATGTTTCCACTTTTCATAGGACTCTGTCTTGATTTTTCAGGTCATTAAAGAGTTCCTATTAGAGCTATATTAGCCACTTACTACTCTTCTTATCTTTCCTTTGCATGAAGATAGTTTGTAAGTGTACCTTTAATAGATTCTCCTTGAAAAACTGCCAGTTCTTCTGAACTACTTTTCCCTCTTAGATCTGCATTATAAAAAAAAAAAAGTCTCAATATTGCTTGACAATCTAATTTTTGAAAGTTTGGATCAATGTGAAAATTACTTCAGGTTAGACAAATGTCTCTAAAGTCTACACTTTTTAAATATAACAGTAAACATCACATTAAAAAACTATTTTAATGAAAATTAATATTGATTAAAGAGGATCTTCATTATTAACTCAATATAATATTTTGGGCATTTCCTTATTATTCATTTTGTCCCCTTCTTAGAAGAGAAATTAAAAAAAGTGGGATTCTTGGCTGCACTGTGGTTTTACTTTACGGATATAAAAAAATTACTAATAATGAGGGATTTCAACACATTCATGGGGCATATCCCTGCAGGAAAGTGTGCAGATATAAAATTTCTAGACACCAAAAATGACTGCTTCTCAGACTGGCTTGTCCTGGAACCCACAAGAGGAGGGACAATTCTTGTTTTGGTCCTAAATGGAGCACAAGATCTGGCCCAAGAGGTGAATACAGATAGACTCTAGACTAGTTGGTTATAGTGGCCATAATATAATTAAGTTGATCATCTTTGTAGAAAGAATAATGCCAAAGAAACCTAGCACAGTAGAATTAAATTAAAAACAGAGAATGATGCTAAAATGAGAACACTACAAGAAATTAAAAAGAATAAATCACAAATGTGACATCAGCAAATGACATGGAGGTGATTTAAAAACATCATAATAGAGAGGCTCAAACTAAATGTATACTGCACATTTTAAAAAAGTAAGAACTGAAAAAAAAGCCATCATGGCTAAACAGCAGAGCAAGAGAGACCAGGGTGAGAGAAACAACCTAGTGAGCCAAACAGAAAAGAGAATCAATTCTGAAAGTACTAGACGATTTACCCAGCGCTGCTCGGGTTCTTAACACAATTAATTTTTGTTTTTCATTTAAATCATTGCTCTAAGGTGGGGCTAGGGATCAGGGGTTTAGTATGCGGGTTGCTCCAGAGGGAGAGGACAGTCCCAGCCCTCTCACCACAGCAGCTTGGGGCTAGGTGAGAAGCACTAAGGGAGAGGACAGTCCCAGTCCTCTCACCACAGCAGCTTAGGGCTAGGTGAGAAGCACTTCTCCTTCCATGGCAGCCGCAGCTCCAATGGGCACACCAGCTAGGTAAGTCCAGGTTCATCTGTCCCCGTGCTCCCCAGCAAGACTGATGAATGGAGCAAACTGTACTTTCCTTTCACACCCTGAGGAAGGAGGACAGCCAGCAATGTTCCCGTATGAAAGGAGAAGAAGGGGAGCTACAGCTGCCCCACCCTCCATAAAGGGCACCTAGGAAGTAGAAGGCTCAGGGCTGGGGCACTCCTGGAGGGGGACACCTTCAATCAACATCTTTCACCTGTCTGGCATTTGTCTCTTTTCTCTATGATTTTTTGTGTCTCCACATGTATGAGGGGGACGGAGTGGAGATTGAGGTCTCCTCCCCACACACACCCCCCACTCAACGAACTCCTGACCTTGCTTTAAGTTGTGATAAGAGGAAGCTGCATACCAAATTTGATAGTCCTAGCTCTAACTGTTTGGGACAAGTTCTTGAACAGACAGACAAACTCTCTCAAATACGTAGTGGATAAAGTCTAATAAGGCAGGCCAAGAAACAATCTGAAGAGTAACTCAAAACTCAAAGAATTAACATAAATCAAAATCGGGAAGCCTGCCAACACTTCAGAAGAGGGTGAGGGCACTTGGGTAAGCTGATCAATGAAGCCTGCATTTGGGGTTCAATGCAGCCCACAAGACATTTTGTTTACCGTTGCCCACGTGCAGGGTTGCCAGATTCTACTGGTTTCCATCCGTATCATTTTTCTCCTACTGCAGTGTTTCTTAAACTATGTTCCACCGAGGTGTTCCGTGACCAACTCTCAGGTGTGTTGCGGCCTTTTCTTTGTTTTTGTTACTTCTTGGTTTTTGTCTTTTTTTGTCTGCCGACAATTTTTTTTAAGACAATTTTCATAGGCGTTCCGTATTAAAAAAAAAAGGTATTATTGTTTGGTGTTCTGTGGTCTCAAAAAGTTTAAGAAACACTACCCTACTGGTATTATTAAAGAGATCACACACAGGTAAATCCAGGGCATGTGAAGTGAGATGCATGCTGATTGCATCCAACATTGACTGTAAGAAGCATGCACTTCCTCTGCATCCAATCAACGTGCTGCTGCGGTTCAGTCGGCACACCCCACAAATTCCAGGCACACAAACATAGTTGGCAAAACTACCCTATCCCAGGAGACTATTACAACAATCTTGCAGCCCGCTGAGATGGGGGGGGAGCATTCATGGAGCCCACTCACCAGCCTAGGTTGCCGAGCGCTGATGAAGCTGGACCTTCAGAAAGTCTTTGACAAGAGCCTTCACCAAAGGTTGTTAAGCAAACGACGCCGTAATGGGATAAGAGGAAAGGTCTTCTAATGGATCCAGTAGCTGGATAAAAGTTAGTAAACAAATGTTAGGAATAAAGTGTCTATTTTTTATAGTGAAGAGAAGTAAGTAGTAGGGTCTTCCAAGGCTTTATGAATAACATAAGTCCCAATATAAATGATCTTGACAATGGGGATAAACAGCAAATTGCCAAAGTTTGGAAACACAACAATAAAATAAACAGGGGGTTGCTATTAATGTTTCACACAGCACAAGAACTGGGAGTCACCTGATTAAATTAATAGGCAGCAGGTTTAACAAACAAAAATATTTATTCACACATTACTGACTCTACATGTGGATCTCATAGCAAGGGAATATTGTAAAGGTCAGAACTATAACTGGGTTGAAAAAAAATTAGATAAGTTCAGGGAGGACAGACTTATTAATGGCTATTAGCCAAGATGATCAGGCATGTAACCCAGTATTCTGGGTGCACCTATACCTTCAACTGTCAGAAACTGAGACTGGACAATAGGAATGGATCATTTTATATTTGCCTGTTCTGTTCATTGTCTCTGAATTGTCTGTCACTGGCCACTGCCAGAAAACAGGTACTGGGCTTGAATGACCATTGGTGTGACCTAGTAGAGCTAGTCTTATGTAAAAGAAAGAAAAAAATGGGAAAAGACTAATTCTGGAAGAAACCCTGTTTCTATTGTGAAGCATAATCCCATCTCAACAGACAAGGTGGATAAACTCTGGGTCATGGGGGAAAAAACTGACTAATCTTGAATCCTACATAACACTCAGTTAACCAGCTGTTTTCAAGAGCTTTGAAATCCCCAGATGAAAGATAATATGCGAGTATTAGAGTAAGCAGAGTCTGTTTGCAAGGTCTCTGTGGTATTTGATAGCTCATTCTGGGCCACCAGAGAGAACAGATATGTGGAAGAATAGCCCTCTGTTCATAGTGATTTGCAACAAATTGCACACTACTGCCTGAACGTAGTGCATTTCCTTTCTGGACACTGCAGTCCAAGGAAGTGTTTAAGAAAGAAACAGAGAAGACTATCTAACAGCTTTGATGGATTCTTCTAATCTCGTTTCAGTGAACAATGGCAGAGGCTTAGTATGAGTGCAGAGGGAAGACCAAGATCCACTGTTTTCCCAGTATCCAGCATTCCCCAGCTGTCTAACACATTATTAGTGGGAAAACAGAACAATGATCATTAACTTTATTTTACTCAGAACTTGAGCTTAAAATACAGCAGCCTGAGAAGCAGAGTTTTTAAAATAAATTGTAAAAGGGAAAAAAAAGCACTGCTTATGCTTTTAACTGATCCTATATGGAAGAGTACCAAGTGAAAAGCTGAGAAGAGCAGCACAGATTTTTATGCCATATTCAGGTTTTCCCAAGAATCTAAAGATCCTCCACAAAAGAGTCAGAGGTCAATATTCTCTCACTCTCTCTCTCTATAACAAGTTTTCCTGTGTCCTGCCACCATCCCTTTTGCCCTCAATCTCCCTGTCTCCTCCCTTCCATCCTCCCAGTGCTGTAAGGTGGGAGCCCCAGCCCCGCCCCTCTCCCAGAGGGCAAAGCTGCACGCCCTTCCCTCCTCCCAGAGGGTCCAGGAGCCATGCACTCTCCTCCCTCCCCAGTGCTTTGGAGGGGTGAGAACCACAAGCCGCACACCCACCCCTCTCCCCCACCTCCAGCCCCATCACACCTCTTTGACCAAAATCCTGCACCTCCAGCCTGCTCATTCATACTCCTCCCCAATTTGAGACCCTGCACCGCCACCCCCTCACTCACACCTTCCACCGAGACCCCATGCCCCCAATCTACTCTTGCTCCCTCCCCCGGCCAAACACCTACCAGAGAGAGAGGGGGGTTGGCAAGTATAGTGAGCAGGGGGCACAACCCCCTAGTTCTAATGCAATAAGAAAAATGTTTTGTGTCCACAAAATTTGTACATTTCAAAGGCTGAAGTGCCACAGGGAGTGCGGGGCCACCAGGGGAATCCAGCAGAAGTAGCGCAAGTGGAGACTGCTTCAGTCCCTGCTTGTGCCATTTCCATTGTACCTCTACCTCCTCTGCCCCCCGCAGAGATGGTGCTAGGGGGAACTGGCTTTTCAGCTGGCTCCCCCCAGCACTGGCTCTTCCTCCCTTGCTGCCTCTCTCTGATAGAGGCAGCAAGGTGGGAGGAAGTGACTAGTTCCTTCTGCTTATCGGATAGTCAACTAGTCTCTTGCATCCCTACTCAAGAGTGTTGCTGCATTGACATCCATGGGGAGGAAAAAACAATACCACTGACTGTCAGAGCTTGCAAACGTAGGGTTGCATCGTGCAAAGCCTCCCTTAGATGAGTCATGCTTACGCAGTCCATTGGACTCAATGATGATGTCTCTTCATTATTAAACCCTTAGGCTACGTCTACATTGTGCATTCTTGCACAAGATATGCAAATGAGGCACGGTGATGAATATCTTACTTCGACCTTCCCATCTAGGGTAGACATGATCTTAGAGACCCTTTATGCTACACTGATTATTCTGGAGAATGTAAAGGGGCAGTGATGGGCATGTGGACTTCATCTTTAGTTTATACTGGATGCTCTAGCCTTCCAGGCTTCACTCTGGGTTCTGATTTCTTAATTAAACTTAATTCAAGCAGACATCCTTATACCTAAAGAAGAGGTGAACGTCTCCTGTGAGGCCTCAATCATGCTAATATTCAGGTGCTAAAGCACTTTGCTAGACCAGAGAACCTTGCAGTCTAAATCATTGTTAATTTGGGTTAGTTTATCTTGTCCTGGAATCTTCTGGGTTTGTGAGCAAATTTGTGATTTACACAACTCTTAAATCCCACCCTTTCTCCGTGAGAACATTTTAAAGGTGACCCCGTGGGACAATCTCCTTATGTTCTACCCTTAGGCTACGTCTAGACTGGCCCCTTCTCCGGAAGAGGCACGCTAATTTCTAACTTTGGAATAGGGAAATCCGCGGGGGATTTAAATATCCCCCGCGGGATTTAAATAAACATGGCCGCCGCTTTTTTTCCGGCTTTTGGAAAAGCCAGAAAAAAAGCATCCAGACTGGCGCGAGCTGGAAAAAAAGCGGCGGCCATGTTTATTTAAATCCCGCGGGGGATATTTAAATCCCCCGCGGATTTCCCTATTCCAAAGTTAGAAATTAGCATGCCTCTTCCGGAGAAGGGGCCAATCTAGACGTAGCCTTAGAGTTTCTCCTGGGAGTATTTTAGAAGTAAGTGTAACTTACACCTAGGTTACCAACAGTTTGTATATTTGACTTTTTTCTTGCCTTGTTTTTATTTTTGCTGTTTTCCTCTCCTCTCTCCCTTCCCCTCCTTCAGTCCAGGCAGACATTCCTATTCATCTCCAGATCAAAGCACAGTTAAATCTTCTTTTTTATTAAGAACAGGTGTTCTTAGTGAAATTCTCAGAAAAAAATGCATCATTCTTCCATCCATATTCTATAACTGCTTGCATTCTAAGCATGTTTTATCCATACATGCCTCTATTTATCTTCTCATAGAAGATTTCCTTTATGCTATCCAGAACCTTTATTTTGCATTAAGCCCTCTACAAACAGATGTGTGAATGAGTCTCTATTTTAAGTCCATGTCAGCTGCAGCAACAGGTGGTCAAATTCAGCAACTACATTAAAGTTCCTACAGCAGGTTCATAATTAAATTTAAAATAAACTCAAAATTTGTCCTGTATTTAAGATCCTAGCAACAGCCTTGAGCACATTCACAATTTACAAAGCAACATGCACTTAAAA